TTTCCCCCTTTCCTATCCACGTGAGGTCAAATCCGGGGCACAATGTAGTACGAGCTGTTCATTTTAATGACATTAGACGTGTTGATATGTTGAATTTACCAGGTTCTTCAGTAGGGCGGACAGCTCCTTCGTGAGGGATGAGAACTTGACGAAGGCCGTTCCCAGGTCCGGGTTGTCCCGGCTGATGAAGTTGCTGCCAAATTTGTCCAGAGCCTGGGCGTAGTTCTCTTCATTCTGGACGTGGTCTGTGTGGAGAAGAAAGGCCAACCACCAGTCAGTTGATCTGCCCTGAATTCTGGCGATTAGCATGATTAACACCCATAAAGGACTGGAAGTGGCCTGCAGTCTTTGATAGGATGTATACTGTAGGTGCAACAGTCACAAAGGTAGTCAATTAAAGCCACATACACACATTTTCTGAAAGAGGCTATAGATAGTTAGCTTGATGTGTCCATAGCCCTGAATATTAAAAACTGTCCAGTACCAAAAGTTGGCATTAAATGTCCAGTCAGATAAATAAAAATATGTTTTTAAAACAGTTAAAAAATACACATTCAGCACTGGGAGCAATGTATTAAAGGTCTAGTGTGTAACGTTTAGGAGGCTCTATTGGCAGAAATTGAATATAATTCATAAGTATGCTTTTATCAGTGTATAATCACCTGAATAAAGGAACTGTTTTATCTACAGAAGATATTTTTTTATAACAAGAAGAAGATGTAGAGAAGATAAAAGGTCTGAGGATTAAACATGTCAGTGATACACCCCTTTGTTCTCGAGGCAAACACCTCGAACAAACAGGTTTGTAAATCTTCTAAGAGATGTTCATAATAACACAGATGTGGCAGAAACAGCCAACAGATCCGACCACGGAAAGTTCCTCATCGGTGCTGCAACACAATGACAGACACATGTGACCTTAACCCGTGATGTTTGATCGCTGCCATTCCAGACTTTTGTTTTTTAGAAATCCTAACCACGGTAACGTCATCTTTATGTACAGCAAATGTCAGTGTTACAAGATGTGTGGTTCCTCCAGGTCTATTCAACTCTACGGGAGCCGTCAGTCAAACAGCGGCATCCATCTGTCCTTGTCGTTAAGTGAGAGATGGAGAGGAGCTGGACGGGGAGGGATGTTTAGACTTTTGCCAAAAGTGAAGAGGGAGGTCAGGTGAGACAAGCACCCTGTAGAGCTTATTCCTGCAGCAGCCATTTTGAACTTTTGTCATACTGGAAATCAAAATATAGTCCAAATCGCGCAGTAGTTACCACTGAGGACAATGAAGTCATGTCCTTTTTTTTTTATAATGTCTTTCGGTGGGTATTTTATGGACCAACAAAAGATTAAATAATCCAACTCATATCAGCCTCACTGTTTACACTCCTAACACTGTATCAGAGCTCAACTATGTTACTGCAAACTGAACATTTTCTACTGCTGCTGTATCAACATTGTGAAAAAGCAGCAAGGAAACGTGATGTTCATGGTGCCCCACATTTCCCAGGACCTTTCCAGAACATTTTCCAGGGGTTTTCCTGACAGCACAGGACAGCACTTGCTCACAAACGGTCCTATAATTTACCAGCAGATCTACTTTTGACACATTTAACTCCTCAGCATTTACGGGACACCCCGCGTTAGCTTGCTTTTGTGGTGTGCTTGGCTGTTCTCAACACAGTCGATTTTAACTCAGCAGAGCTGAGCTGTGTCTCTGGCGGATTGACTACATTTTACTAGAGTCTTTATCTAATCGTAACATAGTAGAATTTCTTTTATTTGTTATTATATGTCTAACCGCACAGCTTATCCTCAAATTTTGAACAAAATACGCACCCAGGTTAACGATCTGAGTCAGCAGCTAGATACAATTTAAAAAATACTTTTAAATATAACTTATTTCAAGGATATTTGGTATTTCTTCTGGATCTCGTGTTCACAGAGGTTAGCCTTGTTTAGGATTGTTCATCAAAATGTGTCACGGTAACTTTTGGTATTATTTGAAGTTTTGAAGTTTTCTAACATTACAGGTAGTAGATCAGACATCTGTTAGACATAGAGCTGCAGGTGACAGATGCACTGCTCAGCAAGGTAACCGACTTTACTGCGTCCTGCTGTTGAGTGGAAAACTACTTTGGCCGAGTGCATCATGAAATAAAACCCCCAGTTACTCAGGCATGATGGGAAAAGGCCAATTATTGACCAACGTCTTTAATAAAACAACGTGAGTTTGTGTGGCTGCAAACAGTTAACAGATACAACAGCTGCTGTAGTTTTAAAATGCACTTGCTGTTACCACCTGTAACCACAGGTGTCGCCAAATCAACAGGAAGGATCATGACTCATGATGTGTTTATAAAATCCTGGCTACGGCCTTGGCTCTAACTATTCATTACATTTCCAAGATAGCACAAACATCCCATTCTTATTTCTATTTTTAGATCACACACAGTATTTGTCTCACGATAACAAAATCCAGCCAAAGTAATTAACTGTTGTTTATTAGACGCTCGACTTTAAAAAGCGATTCCAGTTGTTTGGAGTTTCTCATCCAGAGAGTCAGAATTAAAGTAAGGTCAGCTGCCTTTTTTTGTGAAGAACAAACAAACTTTTTTTGTAGGACAAACATCTGAAACTGTCAATTTACAGGGAGGAGGCTGCTCTCAAAAGTATTCAGTGGAAAATTACTGAGGATCCATGTCACAGCAACGAGCAAAACAAACTCAGGTGTTGGTTTCTGGGACAGCCTAAATACACACACAAAACACCATCTGTCCCACAAAAGGCAATGTTCCAGACAAAAAAAGAGGCATTTTTATTAAAGATATTTAAGAAATCCTGGGCTTTCCTCTGGGGATTTTTTGTTTTTCAAAGGGTTTGTGAACACGTAGCCAACCCGTATGAGCATGATAACTTTAGAAACAGTCTCACCTTGTCCTGAATTGTAGATCGCCTTCACTGATTTCTTCACCTTTTGCAGGGAGGTTCGGTCCTGATCCAACGCCTGAGAAAAAGAAGGAGAGGACGCTTTTAAAAAAAGGAAACTCTGAATTTGTTTCATCATTTGAGAACATACTGGAAACACATCAAAAGACAGCAACGATCATTTTTACTTTAACGCTACAGCAACTTTGGCATAAGAACAACAATATTTGCTCAGTTGTTCAAAGCATCAATACTCCATAAAGCTGAGCAGAGTGCTCACAATACAGTGCTTGACCTTAGTGGGGTATAAATCATTATCTCAACACTGCTGACTGCCGGAGCAAAACCTTTGTGCTCTCTAATAGGCAATATATCCAATTTTTTAACATGTTTAAGCCATTTATTACAATAATTATTCACAATGAAACATTTAAATGCAAGAAAAATAAACACTGCCGCTGACCTACTGTTACTATGAGTTATCTGTCCCACTTCTTTGCAATAGTAATAAGAGATTAATGCTCAGAGTTCAGCATCAAAAGCGCCAGGGAGGTAAAATAACGACTAACACAAACAGAAAACACTCCACAGATGCTATAGATCACAGCACTGCTGGTTACTCATTCAACGATAGTGCACGTCGGTTGTATTTAGAGAAAATCCTACAAAGCTATTTAAGACAAAGCAACGCTGGTGTGACCCTTGAACTGATTTACACACAAAAAAAACTGCTTCACACAAGGAAAATTCATCATCATAAACACCGTCCACATGTAAGAAAAACTCATCATGTGCCCCTATTGCTCAGTTCCCTCCCTGCCAGAGAAAATATCAACAACATCTGAAGTTACACCACATTGGAGCTCATTTCGCATGCTGCACGGTTGATTTGTGGCCTGATTAAGCCTAAACACAAGTCCATTTCATTCAAGGGAGACATGTCACATTTGAACTCAATTTTTATAGCGTTTTAGATTTTATAGCCTTGTTTTTTCTTTTTTAATGCTCTTCAAATAACTTATTGCCTGCCATGTTCCTGCCTTATCTGTATAGCATATTTAAATCTCCCTTGAAAGCACACTTGTGCATGTTTTTAGATGCCTTGAACTATTTTGTGTTTTTTTCTGTTCTTATTCTATTCTTAATTGTTTAAACATTGTAATTCTCAATGCATTTATGTCATGTTATTATATTATATGGTTATAATAATAGAATTATTTACCATCGGCAGATATAAACCTTTGAAAAGTTGTTTAAAAGCTTCTAGGAAAGTGAAAATGCAACAACTCTATCTATCTACAACTCTATCTACTATCACTTTCAGCTAAAATAAAATAAAAGCCACTTAACCTGCAACACTTACTGGAAATTATCCTGTATAATATTTGCCCCAGATCCAATAAATACAGCAAACACTCACTGATCAATAGGTTTTTTTACTTGCATGCACATCATGCTAGTATCATGTTAGTATGACCACTATCACTATCTGTCCAAAATGTATGTTTAAACAAGTGATAAGTCGCTGTCACCTTCCCTGTAATTACCTTTCTATCATTTATTAGTTGTCTTATTTCCCTGATTACCATCTGTGATAAAATAAAAGGAAGGTGATTATTTTGTTGGGAGAATATGAGACTGCAGTTACAACAATAAGCAGGAAAGGAGGTCAAGCATGTATTCCTGCTGTGAGCTAAAACAACCTGGAGACTCTTCTCAGCGCGCACGAGAGCAACGATATGAAAATCACCCGTCATACTGAACGCCGTCTGCCTTTGTGACATCTAAAATGAGTTAATATACAGCAAGAAAAAAGCTGAGATAATTGAAAAACTGCAAACGCACACCTGAATTACCCGTCTCGACTAAAAAGATTTATAATGTGAGTCCGTCCTGGTAGTTTTAACACTAATTTATTCTGACAGTACGATGATTTCACATCCAGACCATCTCAACCAAAAGGGAATGGAACCATAACTCTGCCATGTTTGCTCGTAATGGATGATAAACACCAGCAAAACCACCATTACATCAAGGTCAGCCGGTTAAGAGCAGATGCACGCACACACACAAGAGTGGACTAATTAAATTTCACAACATAATTAAGCCGTCCTTGGCCTCCCCTGGACAGTTTTACATGGCTCTTCCCCAATTATGGCAGCAGTAGTTTGTCGCCGCAGGGCCCTTTCTGCGAGGGCCGGGCCCTTTGATCCCCGCTGCACATGGGAACAGACTCTGCTGCCCAGCACCACCCCACACTGCCTCATTACTTAGCCCTGTGCCTGTTTGGCTGAACTGTGGCCCAAACAGGCCTGTGCCAACATTAAAATTTGATGGTACCATTATCTCAATATTGTCTCCGTCGTCTGTATATGCTATTATCTTCATAATTGCTATAATGAGAATCTTCAAAGAGTATGAAACTGACTCACTGAAAACTTAAGGTTACTTATCCTGTAACCCCGTTCTCTGATAACACGAGCGAGATGGCTAACTCCGGGAAGCACTCAGTGTTATCCATATTATTACTCCAGTCTGTACTGGCTGGCAGTCTCACATCAAGTCAAACTCAAGCTGCTCTTCTTGCTTTACTCAAAAAGCTTCTGTCTGCCAACGTGAGTGCCTAATTGTTGTTCTACACTGGAAGCTGTTAAGCTACATTATACTTTTACTGACAGCAGCGAGCTACACTACAAGCTACTCGGAGAAGATGGCACTGAAGCTATTTCACATTAAGAGATGTTTTCTGTTGAGTGATACAATAAACAGATTTGTTTTGTGTAGCTTTGGTGCTCTCCGACACTGGTGGTTGGTTTAACAGTCCAACAAGACAAGCTAATACCATTAAGCCCAATTTTTACTTCTGTATTGAATTGAAGCTGTAGGTATGCACGCCGTGGGTACGACGTTACCTCGCACCCTATAGACTGACCTCTCCAGAAATCTAATAACATGTCACAATAACAACTGTGATTGGTCCACTTGCAAAACCCAAATGAGTTAATAATGTTGTCCAAGAATTCCTCTTCAACAGACCGACACGGCCCCTTTCGTTTCGCGTGCAGCAGAGGGGAAAACCCACGACAGAGGAACAGAAACAAGGAATAGTTTCAGAACAGAAACAAGGGATAGTTTTTAGTTTCAGGCTTAAAATCTCCACCATCATCTACCGTTTTGGCAGTGTTGTCTGCAACTTGTGTGGGTTATGGCAAAAAACAGCCAGCATAGGTGACTAAAGGCTGATTCATAGTGGTACTGTGGCTCTACCATTAGTCACCTATACTGGCTGTGTTTGTTAACCTCTTAGTGAACTCTTAACCATAGAGTAGCAGGTGATAAAGCGTTGGTTGTCAGCGTACAACTAGCGCAGCTGTTAGCTAAAAAAGTGACTGTTAACAGGTAGCACAAGCGCTACCCACCATAGCTAACTAGGTAGCTCAGCAAAGGTTTTCAGTCCCACATGCAGAATATGATGTTTTTTAAACCATTCCTCTTTTCCAATTTGCTGCTTTTCTGTGCTTTTTTTGATATTTAAATCAATATTTTTGGGTTTTAGACGACACGTAACATTTGAAGATGTCATCATGAGCTCTGGGGAAATGTGACAGACATTTTTATATATATTAAATAATCATTACTACAGAAATAAATTCAGATATATATAATAATGTTAATTATTTCCTATGACAGTGACGCCAAGCAGACTCCATCGAAGTGTTTCGACATGTTGTGTTACACAGCAAAAGTCACGGATTAGATCCCCATAACAGCCGACACATTCACTAACAGGCTGTGTTTCCTCTCAGCTCACCAAACCCCGCCCTCGCCAGTCAGCTCGAGTCTGCAGTTTAAACGCCTTCAGAGTAAATCTGTGATTATTCGGAGGTTGTAGTGCGGTGTGCTGATTAGGATGAGGAGCACACAACAGAGGGCTGAGCAGGCAGATTGACTTTTGTGGTGTTCATGTTGAGAGCAGCTGGCACCGCCACCCAAGGGTCACCCATAATCCACTCTGTCTGTGCTCGTAATTAAATATTCAGCTGTAACATTAACATCCTTAAACATCTTTCTTAGCAATTTTTTTGGTTAGTCCATAAATCCATACATTTACTAAATGAAATCTGATTTAGTAAATGCTTAATGTTTGTTTTGAGAGGACGGAGAACAATCATTCAAAATCCCTATAACACATTAGAGAGGATAAACAATACACATCCACACGTTGGCCAGCAGTATTTCAGTGGTAAACTAATGAAACTTGGAGAGATGGTTTGTTAAAGCTGTTATTTCTCAGCAGGAGGGAGAAAAAAAAAATCAATGAAATAGCACTGTCTTGGCACACAGACTTTGCAAACCCTTGGCAACAGGCAAGAATGCATCCAAACTCTGCTTTCCAAAAGGCCGACAACTATTGAATATAGTCAAAGGATTGTTTTTTATCTGCCAGCAACCAATGGCAAGCTCCCACTCAACCCGAGGGGATTAACGAGTGTGACAATGCCAAAACATCTGCGGTCGCTCGTCTCTCCGTGTGTTATTCGACTGAGAAATATCTATCTTGAAGAGCCATTTGTGCTGTGAAAGTCGACACGTCGCTGTCAGAATGCTTTTAAGTAGGAAGTCTGTCAGAGATGGAGCCAAAGGGGTCAAGGGCCAACTTAAGGGAGGTGAAGGGCGGTGGCGACGTATGGTGCCTCAGCAAGAACAGATTTTGTAGCCAGCGTGAGTACCAAGGTCACAAACGTCCTTGAAAGTTCATTACATTAATACATTTTTCTTGATTGATACCAATACTGACATTATTTTCTTAATTTACTTATTATTGTGGTCAATGGTCCAATCAATTTTAATTTCCTAAAGCCCTAGTTAACTTAATTAAACTGCTTCTTTTGTCCAACCCGAAGGTTTTATATCATAAAGAAATACAACTATATGTGTATAAATTAATACTTTAAAGGCTGGAAAACAGTGAATTTTGCTTTAAATGTATATGATTTAATCTATTATGACACCCCGTTGCAGACAAATGTGATTGACTAATTGTTTCAACTCTAATTCACACAATAAATGTTGTCTAATAAAAATCGGCCTCCTGTTTTAACATGCATGTGATACAGTAATTAACGAATAAAGTAGTAAAGTAAATGCCTAATGTTTGATGAGGCACTTATTGGTAATGAAAATGTATTCAGAAGTAGTTTATTAATGATGCTTTCACCTCATAAATAAAGGCTACTGCATTAGCTGGTAGATATTTCTATCAATATTTATTACTCGGTCTTAAAACCAGTTTTTGTGACGTTGCTAACCTTCAGCTTATGACTAGACGTTTCTTTCCTGAGCAGGTTTTGATCACTTGTGGTTCAGCAGCTTGAAGAGCAAACAGAGTTTTTATTAACCAATCAGTTGTTTGACAGAAAGTTAAACAGCAATAGCTTTCAGCTTCTCCAGGAGTGGATTGTTTTTCTCTGTTTTATATCATTTTAAATTTAATAACTTGGTGTTTTGGGCTTTTGGTCAGACAAAACAAGACATTTAAAGATAACAACTAGACTCGGGGAAACTGTAAATCCTTTTTATAGAAAGAGAATTAATAGAAAAAAAAACTAAATGAAAATTGTTTGTTGCAGCCCAACTTTAAAACAAAAACTGCCCTTAAAGTGTGACCCATGTGACCAATGAGGTCAATGGGGGCTGACTTCCTGATTCCCAAACAACCACACAAACACACACACAGTCATGCCCAGGAGGTCAAAGCCTCGGGGGAAAATTGGTGGTTCAAGTGACTGGGCATGACTGACTGGAGACTGTCAGGCTTCCTGCCCGAGGCCTTATCCTCTCTTAGCAGCCCTGCCGTTTCCCCTGCAGCCGTCCTTTGACAGGAAGCAGGAAGCGGCCAGGCTTGTCAGTGTCCTGTCCCGGGTCGGCAGCACTCCGTCTAATGACACCAACTGCTCTCCGCTGACAGCTGAGGGATAAACACACTTTCTGGCTTTTTTCTTCAGATTCCTGCTCTGTCACTTTTCACGGCACGTTAGTTATCTTTTCTCATTTCCTCCCCGAACTCATCCTCCCTTAGCTCCTCGAACCCCCGTTCCTCTCCTCGAGCCCTGGGCGTTTGGCATCGCAACCGGCGGGGCGGCCGCTGCGGTTACCGAGGAGACGCGATCTGGCCGTCTCGTGCGTTGGCTCTACATTCTTCACCGTGGAGATTGTGGGAAGCTGTTCTGACTAACTGACCGGCTCTCTTGTTAGTCAGCAGCACCCTGGGACTCAACTGTGCCACTGTGGCAGATTTTTACTGTTCACCCAGCAGAGATTGAGACACCCGAGTTCTCAGAATTGCTAATATGCTAATCATTTCCTAGAAGAAGAAAACAGGAAAGGGCACAATTATCAAAGGACTTCCCCGGAGCCTGGACACGGAGCTGAAAAACATCTGCAGTGGCATTTTAAGAGAGAAACTCACTAACCAGATTATCATTTTTTTAATTCTCCATCCCAACCTTATTCCTTTCTGGCTCACTCCTATAATAAAAAAAAAGGTGTTTGTGTATTACAGCGATAAAGCTAGCTCTAGTTCTGTCTGAATGAAACAGTCATGGAGGAGGTCGGCCTGTTTGTCTGTCTGTCAAGTCATTTTGTCTGTCTGTTGAGTCTATGTGGCATGAGTCAAGCAGGAAGGGTGGGGAGCCGTTTTCATTGGCAGGAAACAAATGCACATCCCTTTCTCTGGGCCTGCAGCCGGAGAGGACTTTAGCTCTCCAAGTGGAATGGGAAAAATGAGAGGATGTAACATTTCCAAAAGCAGCTGAGGCCTATTTCTCACACACACACACACACACACACACACACACACGCACACGGTACTGAAAGAGGAAGAGTGATTGACTGCCAGTGGTTTTGGTTTTGGTTAAGAGGTGTATCAGGGACGACCACATGACCAATGTAGTGCATCTGAAAAGGCAAATAAAACGACAAGTGAGACTATGTCTTTTTTCAGAGGTTTGAAGTTAATGAGGATCCCGAACATCAATCAACATGAAACTGTCTATTTCTGAACGGACAGAAGAGGTTTAACTAAAAACACTCAAAGAGAACAGAATACTTCGACTGGGGGTCTCTATCAATTCCAGACTTTTATACACCTCCTTCGACGTACTCACATTTCTTTACTGGTCTACGACGGAGGAGTTTCAAAACTGAAAATGACAAAGCAGCTCAAAAGATTGTTAACTAGCTATCATGCATACTTACAAGTTACTGC